TTACTTAAGAACAGGAGATTATGTGGGCTGCTTATGTTCCCACAGCTGTGGAATGCCACCAACAAAGTTACTAAACAAGATTGTTTTTTTAAAAACAACTGTATGCTTGGCTAGGCTATTGATTAGGATTCAGGAAAAGGAAACTCTTCATATGTGAAGAAATTAGTTTGAGTAGCTGCAAGATTAGACTTGGAACTGGCAGTCCACTTTATAACATAGTTCTTCTGTTTCTCACAAATATTTATTTATTCATCAAATTGCTAAGGTTACTTAACTTCAAAACAAGTCTGGGCAACATCCAATATTAAAAACAGTTGAAAATATTATCAGCAGAAAAGAATAATAGATGTCCAGAGAAAGTAATCAGATCATAATCTTCAACCCCATATATTCCCAAAAGCTGTCTGCCATGCTCTGTAACTCGCAATTACTCATAATTGTGTAGATCATCCTTTGATTAATTTTTAAAATACACTTATTTATTATACCAAATAAATAACCTTTCTGGTCTATATTCATATAATTTCACATTGGCAGTTTTAAAAAAGGCTCCTGGAGCCATGGACTCTTGACAGCATATTAAATAATTTTGAATGCAAGTTATTTGTAGCTTCTTGTTCTAAGTAATGATAATAATGCTTCTTTCTTCTTCTTTCATGTATACAAGAAATTATTGAACAAGAATGCTTTTTATTGCATCAAGAAACTCTACCTGAACAGTTGTTGGCAGAGAAGAAGATGAATCTCAATGAAATGCCTGTTTTAAGTGCCCCCCAGCTCATTGAGGTATTTACTATATTGTTTAATTAATTGAATTTTTGCATCTGTACAAAGGGATTTCCATTGTTTGAAAGAATGCAGAAAAGTGTTACATGTAAACACTGTAACATATTTTTTAAAGAATTAAATATTATTCTAAAATGTCAAGAATTGAAATCCACTTAAAAAGAATTTGCGTTGAAGCTAGTATGAAACTTGCTCTGTATTTTTGACTTTGAAGCCCGAACAGTATTATGGTTTATCAGCACTTTGAATATTGTGTGCTTGTTTGGAAATTGGCCATTCCAGGTTACTACTTACTTACTTGCTGTTGTGCTTACTTACCTTGTATCAAAGCAATTCAGCTTAGTAAAGTTCCACTACTCCTCAAATATGAAAACCTCAAATATTCATTAGTTAGGATGACCCACAAGTTGTGCAGTTCCAGATACTTCTTAACAGCATGTTCATAAAACCATAAATGTATTCAGAGCCCAAGACTGTATGAACACTTGAATGTCTCTTTTCCCGTCACATACACGTACACATGCACACAAAATCTTAGTGCAGAATACATCTTGTGACTTGAAATACAAAACATCTTGTGGTTGGATAAATCTTGTTACCCCCAGTTTTATCACACAAATAATTCTTTATTGCTACTACTTCCACAGTATTATATATAATATCTTCAAGATATCCATCCTAAATTGGTTAAGGTATACTTGTAAGTTATTATAGAAGAAAACTGCCAACTTCATGAGTGTCATTATTAAATAATGATTTGACGACTTAAGTACCAGCAATATTTCTGAGACAGATAGTTGTGCTTTTCTGTGTTCGTTCTGTTCACTTATAGTATCAGTACCTTATCCAATAGATTTTTGTGCATGTGTGCAAAAAATTAGTGATTTAATCCAACAACTGCTTTGTAGCAGTTTAGCTAGCCCAAACTCTTTAAAAGACTGGTATTGCAGAACTACGTTACCAAGTGATTTGCTTCTTTTAAAATGTAGGGAATCAAGGGATTAGGAACCCTGGGAAGAAACATTTTAGATATAAAGGATATCTCCTCTTCCCCATTCCAAGGATTCAATTCTAAGAGGCAAAAAAAGAGAACCAACTGAATGCACTAAAGGGAAGACAACTGTGGTATTAACTAATAATCTCCCAATTTGAACTATTGCTCACACTTTTTAATTACTCATAGTAGCAAGGTTTTTTCCCTACTTCTAGTTTCATCTGAATATGTTATAAGACTCATAACCAGGTAGGAAGGAAAAGTAAAGAAGATTTATAAGTCACCCTCTGGGGGAGATGGGTGGCATATAAATTTAATACGAAATAAATAATAAAAATAAATAAATAAATTCATTACCCAGTGTCTCAGCTAAGTGGGGTGATAATTTAGATGATGTGCTACCTATTCAGTTTTGAATCCCCAATATTATCCCCAAGCTGCATTCCATGATAGAGAAAAATGGCTCTTCAGATTGTACTGAACTTCTAAGAAATTATTTACCCCTGACTTTACTCTGAATTTTACTGCTTTTAGGACACTGACGTTGCCTTCAATAAGCAGTTTGCAAGTAGTGATCTGTCAGTTTACAGTATGCAGTATGCTTAACTATAAGACTTCAAGAAATTTCACATTACACATTGATGAAATCTGTTGTAATTTGACAGCTTATGTGCCCCATTAAAATGCCCCATTAAAACATGTTTTTTGTCAATATTCCTTTTATTTTCATTAAAAGAATTTATCATAATTGTTGCTCATTAAAACAAAAATTATTTGGTGTTCCATGATACTGGGCATCCAAAGCAAGCTGAGATTTTGTAAAAATGATGATGATGTCAAGACCCAAGCCCTGTCCTTTACATGTGATGTTGTGATACAAATACAATTGGGGCAAAGTTTGTGTCATGATGCACATTATGTCATTTGCCAGCCTATGGACAACAATGCATAGTCTTGAAATGTTTATAGCTCAATACATTGGAAAATCTGTGGCCTAAATGATTCTATAACTTTCATATGGCCCTGAAGATGTAGTTGCATTCCCAGTTATAAGGGTCAGATTGTCAATTAGAGCCTGTGAGTTAGTGATGTTAACTGTTGTTGACTGGTTTTTACCTTGGCTGAACAATTATATATTTTATTTTGTTGTTTTATGTTTTTTTAATTGTTGTTAGCTGCCCAGATGTACCACGGTGAGATAGACATCCATATAAATTGAATAAATAAAGTTCTCATAAATCAATGTTACACACAATGGCTATAATATGGAACATGTATCTAAAATATTATGCCTCTCCCTTATTCTCAAAGTGACAGTACAGTTGAGGCATATTTCAGTGAAAAGGAGTTAAAATACAGGATGATTTCCGCCCCACAGTGAGTTCTTTACATAATAGTTTATATGTTTTGTAGTCTAAAACTAATTTTGTTTTCATTCTTTCATACAATAGTTATACATATGTGATGAGAACAGGAAAGCTAATGAGTATGACTTCAAGAAGGCACTTGATCTGCTGGAGTATATTGATCAGGTATGAAAATGTTATGTTTTACTGGTTTTCAGTGAATGGGTATAAACGATTATGCAAATTCTCTCTGACAACTGCTAGAATACTGAAACACCACTTAATGTAGATAATTTTGTTAGATCCATTTTTAGTAATGGAGGACCCAGCTTGGGAAGGCATTATTATTAGTATTAGTATTATCCACAACTCTGTGAACTTCTGTTCCAGCCATTTATTTATTTAAAGTATTTGAGACAGTTCCTCCTTGTAAAATTTCCAAAATGGTTTATAAAGGTATTTTAAAAAACACAAAATAAACTTTTGTAAAATGATGATAATAAAAGATTGAGAAAGGCCAACATAAAAGATACACACCACCTTTAGGATATGGCTTATTCCAGAGGGTGGATCATTTCACAGGACAGTTGCCATCTCAGTGAAGGTATGTTTCTGTGTTGTGATCAAGAAGCAAGCTACTATTTATGGTACAAAGAGGAGAATCTCCTTTGAAGATTGTGCCAGATTTGTTTATTGTGAAAATTTGTGTGTGACTTTCTAAAAATAGTGTAAACTTTCCCCTGCATAATGTAAAAGGAACCCTTTTTCACTGCCCAACTCAGGAGGCTGACATTTTTTCATGTATTAGACTTATATTCCACCTTTCCTCCAAGAGCTCAGGTTAGTGTATGTAGCATGTTCTCCTACAACTTTTCTTTATGATAACTACCTTTGAGGTAGGTTGGATTGACCCAGGAGTGGCCCCAAATCACTAGTTGAGCTTCCATGGCTAAGGTAGACTAGAATCTGGGTTTCCTGTCCTGATCTGACACCTTAATCAATACTCTCTCACTGATGTACAATAAAAGAGGCTTAATCTCACCTGATAATTGACACATACATACACACTGCTCAAGTAATCAGAGGTTGCACTGTATAGACATTGTCTGTAGAGCCACACGGACAACTGGGATGGCTGTATCCTGCCTGTGTGTGAGGGGATGCATTGTAAAGGGCCGTTCCTGAAAGAACATTCAAATAATTAACTGTATGAAGCTTGGCAAGAGAACTTTTGGATAATACTGCATTTCATCCACAGCCTGAAGTCAAGAATTGAATCAAATCAGTTAGTTCATCTCTAAGAAAAACCTCTTTCCTTAAAATCCAACTGTTCTTTACCATTTTGGTTCCTGTAGAACACTGTGTTCCCAGTCTCTAGCTAGTCTGTTGTTTCATTGTCTTACATGCCATACTATTCAGATTTATCAGATAGCATTGCTCCTTGCTTTGGTAACACCCATAATGCTATTATGTAGCCTATCCCTTAGTTTCCCCTTCCTCCCTCAGTCAAATCACTTCCCTTCAGAGTTTCTTCAGCATCGTTTTATGAAATATTCTCTTTAAACACACACCATTACAGTATTTTATTATTTTGTTTTTAGCATAAGCGATCAACCAAATTCAGATATGGTTATAAAGTATAATTTCTTTCCTGAAATTTCAAATGCAATTTAACATTATTTCTTTTTTTTAATGAAGGCTGAGCAAGTGGACATAAATTATCTGAAACTTAAAATACTTTGTAAAGCTCTCCTGAGAGATGGGTAGGTAAAAACAATTTAATGCATTTAATGTATTTAATGTATTCATTTACAACATTTATACCTATACTTAGGCAAAACAGTTCCTAGAGCAGCTTCCATGAAATCAGTTGCAAATGAGATAATCTCTCTTTTTTAGTCTTCATTTCCAAAAGATATGGCAAGGGATGAGGGGTAATGAAAAACAGATAGATTTGGATACCAGTTCCTACAGTTATAATACAACAGGCTGAATGCAAGCAGTTCCTGGAGAGGTGGAGCCGAATGAGGTTAGGTCTTCCAGCAGAGTTCATGGATTGGCTCTGCTTTCCATCTCTTCTTCCACTTTTGAGAGTATCTTTGATTTCAGTTAATACTTTGTTGAAGTATCCTTCCAATCCCCTCCAATTTCTAGTATCAAACTGAATATTAGGTAGAACATTCCAAAAGCAGGGTACCACTGCCAAGAAGAAATTTTCTTTATGGAAAGGGCAAGTTGATAGAATAATAGGGGTTCCTCAGATTTAGTGAAAGGCTGTGCAAGGATACATTTTAGGTAATCCTCAACACTTTTGCTATTTTAAGGGTTAGAATTATCCCATTACAGACTGGGGATTCACTAAAAGTGAGCAGTTTCTCTACCAATCAAGATATGCCTAACTTCTCAACTGTTACCTCTTAACCATTATACCATTGTCCCCCTTTTTTTGTACAGTCTTCATACATTCATACAGCTAAATGTGGGTCTTCAGAGTTTGCTTAAAATTTGCCTGTCATTCCAGATAATAGAATTTCTTCCCCTCCCCTTCCCTTCTCAAAAGCTACTCACCTTTCTGAACTACTCATATTTAGTTTCCAGATTTTGAAGGAGTAGAGGAATGGATGATGAAAAGACTCAGCACTGTGTTTCAAACTGGCTCTAAAACTGAATTGCAGTGACTCCCCTCAAAATCTTGAAGGATTGTGTAAAATACTTTTTCCAAACAAGTATATTAACAGAAATCCATGAATATGGTTCAGGAACAATTTGGGGATTTTTGTTTAAAGTAAGAATCCTTTCATTCATTAGGACTTATTATGAGTAAATCCATTTCAAGGTTAACATATTTCCTGACAAAAGATTACTGTTAATATATGTTAAGCTGTGAGGGAGGAAATCATGAATATAATTATATCCAGGCTTAATCCCAAAATATGGTAGGAATTGATCCTCATTTAGATGGCACCATTTCAGTTTGTCTTGTTGATGAACCTTTAGAATAAATAGCTATACAAATATTATCCTTATTCAGATGTTCTCCTCATTATCAAGGCATCTTCAAATCTCTGAATCGGATACTTCAAGCTACCTGCCCTATAGGGATGTGCATAATTTTTTTATGCTGTCCTGCTCTATAACTATATATGGCAATGGAATTGTTGGGTAGTACCCGAGGCTTGTGGGGAACACACAGTGACTTCCCAACAAGGTAATGGATTTTGTTTCTCTCATTCATTCTGTTCACTATTTCTCCTTCAGGAGAAGTGAATAGCAATGAAAGAGAATGTTATGGAAGAATGTGTATCACTTTACCCAGAATTCCTTGTTTAATATAGATTAGAGTCAGCCACATTAACAGTTATAATAAATGCACTAGCTAGAAAAAACTGTTTAAAAATGCACTTAAAAATATATCACTGAAATAGAGGCCTCTTTCTTGTTAGGGACTTTCATTGATTCTGAATTCAAATTCAGAATATAATTTCAGCATTTTCTTGCTTTCACATCCTACAAGGCTACCTTCTCATGGAGAAAGTTTAGGCAATAGGATCAGTTAAACTGCCAATGATAGAATGTACACATTAAGAACTTAGGGCATAGACTAGACCTCCTAGTCATACTAGTATAATGCAGCAATACAGACATATTAAATAATTTGACATCAAAAGCTGATTATTTCAACTGCAGATCACTGCTGACTATTAAGAAAAGTTTACTGATTTTTTTCCTGCCAATCCTACATTACAGAGGCCAGTCCTATTCTAACTCCTCCATCCATATATTTCACAAAGTTATGCAAGATATTAATTATAATGAAATATGTGGATAGTGATTTAATATTGCTTAAATAGATTTCTACCCTGCCTTTCCCTCTATATTGTAGTCTGCTCCAGCCTTCTGTATAGATGTGGGGTGGCTTCAAGAAGACTAAGAGAAATCTGTTTCCTGATGAATATTTTTCCTATGGTAAAAGATTCTAGTTGTATAGTTCCCAAATCTTTTAAAAGGTCTATCTGTAATTATTTTTTCATTGAATTATGAAACTTAATCTTTTTATATTCATAATACTGCATTGAAATAACAGACATGTAATACTTGCTGAAATATGAAGAAAATAGAGGGTGCAAGAAAATGACAAACGAAAATGAGAAATATAAACAGAAAAAAAATAGCACAATGGAAATTTAGATTAACACATTGTCTATTATTGGTCTTTAAAATATATTTGTTTGGATTCTTTTACACTTGGGGTTATAGCTGGTCCAGTTCGGAAGGCAAAGATGATCCCATTGAAGCATCTAAAGACAGTATATTTGTGAAAATACTACAAAAGCTGATAAAAGAAGGTATATTTTATTGAAATATATTCAGAAACATAATTTGAGTCCCCTGCTTAAAAATTTGCATGCAGATATCAGATATATATCAAAGATATAGAAAATAGGAAACTCAGTATAGATTTCCATAGTTCCATAGTATCTAACAACTATTTCCATTGTAGGAGTTCAACTCAGCGAATATCTGCCTGAGGTGAAGGATTTGATGCAGTCAGATGAACTTGGACATTTAAAATACAATCCTTACTTTGAATTTGTTCTGAAAGCAAATTATGAATTGTATGTTTTCAGAGACCAAGCATGAGAAATTTTGAATTTTAGTAAGCCAGCTTCTTTTTTTATATTGTGCATTGTTTTTGCAATAAAGTCTCAATTTTAAACAATAACATGATTCACAATGATTAAGAACTGAAATAGTATCAAGAAGGTGGTGGTCTCATATAAAAAAGGAAGTAGACTGAAGCATTAAAAATTACTCTGTTCTATAAACAGTATGTTTCCAAACACTCTTATTACCCCATCTTCTTACTTGTGCTGCTGTTTTGTGGGTGAATATAATTGTTCATGCACCTGAATGAACAATTGCCTTTTAATCTGAGAAACGTTGACTATTCATCTTATAATCATAATATACACTTACATACTTTAATATATAAATGACTGAATTCAAGTGCTCACCACATAATGATGTTCTACTATAATCTAGGTAATGACACGAAGGCTAGGAAGTAGTTCTCCAAGTGCTTCTCCTGGGAATTTCTCTTCTCTACTTGATATTAGTTGGTTTTGGTAATTTACAATCCACAACATTTTACCATGCTAATGCACAAAGAACAGATGGACTAATATAAATCAACTTAGTTCTTTAATCTGACAAATATCACAGTAGAATTGTTCCTACAGCCTGCTCAACATATACAGAGTAACTGCAAAACCAACTTGCATCGTCTTACCCCTTTATGTCTTGGCTAAATGCCTCTAGAATTTGATCCAACAGCTGAGAAGGTCATAAGTTAAATCAGTTGAAGAGAATCCCATGTCTAGTTTTAAAAGTACAACTACCATTCCATGGCTTCCTTTCTTGCTGTGCTAACAGAGCTCTAAGAATGGAAGAGCTGAATACATATGGAAGGATATACTTACCTCAAAATGTTCAAACCAATGTAGAAAAGAAATATACTACCAGTACAGGAAGATTAAACAAAATATTTCAGATACGTTGGGATCTACAAAATATAAGGTATCAAAAGGAACAGGCTATGTCATGCTATTAATACAGAGCTAAAAGATTGAAACATAGGAATGAAATAAAGCTGATAAAAGATCACGTTTTTATCCTGCTTTCTCAACTAAAAAGCAGTCAAAAGTGCTCTGGTCTGATGAAAGTCCTCCTGGAGCTTTTCATTTCTGTCTAAATTCCAATCTCTATTTTGATATGTATGTGCTACATAATCTGGATCTCCTAGAAATTCTTTATTGCTATTAACATTTTCCCCAAAGCTAAGATAGCTTCTATTTAATCAGAATAAACAGCAGCTTCTGAGTATACGAAAATGCGTTATCCAAACATTTGTTAGAATTTTTATGAGAAGACATAGCCCTATCTGTGCCAGTTTTCTAAGAAGCTCATCTCAGTGAGTTCAATGGAATGTATTCCCATGGAAGCATGTAGTGGTATGAATGTAAAACATGAACTCTGGAAAATTATTTCCCTTAATGAGCAGCCTCTGGAATGGTATAGATACAGGTATAGGTACAGATACAGATACTTATGGCCGTCAATTTCATTCCAAAATAGTGCTATTTTTATATTTTAAAATGATATATTAAATGGCATAGCTGTTGCATATTTATAATATTAAACATAATGGAATGTATTGACATAGAGATGAATGTTAGATGTTAAATTGATCACATAGTATAAATGGAATAAGAAAGTTTTAATTTCTACATTTCTCTGCCTATGTGGCTGACACTCTTGATGCTATTTTATGTTAATATATCTGTATGCACTGGAATTCAGTGTTTCAGCTGCATAGTGTATTTGTCAGTTCAAGGTAAGCCTCTCTACTAAGAACTGCAAAATACAGAAATGAGTAGCCAATTTTTTTTCCTGGAAAATGGCACCTGATTGTCTTAAGTATGTGAAAACATACAAATGTGCTATGGTTTCAGTAGATGTATTTGTTTTGTTGTAAGCACTGGATTGGTTTAAGGAGAAGATGGGTCAATTGAATGTATTCACAGAATATCTTGCAATAACTGCTGTGAGTTCCTTTTACTGGAGAGTCGTTACCTCACATGGTTGTTGTTACAAAAAACAGGAGTCAGCACTATATACATCACTTTGGGTTCCTGAATGAAAAGTGGCATATAAGTAAATAAAATCTATGCATATTTATTCCTTGGCAATCATTTAAACTTACAAAAGAGGCAGCATTTGTAATAAATTATAGTATGCTAATTTATTAACACTTCTGTCACTGGTCAACTCCACTGCAGTGGGAATGAGAATTTCTGCTGTACTTCCCAGTTAATGAAAACTCTGGGTGGAGAGACTAATTTAATAAACACATCCTTTAATTTAAAAAGGAGTGTTTCAGTGTCTAAGTGACACTTATGAAACCATAGTATGATTTTTAATAGACAAAGGTGTAAAGTTGTTACTTGTATTGGCAGAAACTTGAGAAACTACAGTGATTTCTCCTGTGGACATGAGCTTTACACTTATCCTTCTCTAATTACTTGAACTTGATGGGGTTTGTCTCTGTTAATACTGGCTAAGTCTTTTATACAGTCATAAGTCCTGCAGCCATAATTCCCAACTATGTTTATAGAGTAAATAACTGCTTACTTAATCAGGAAAAAAGTTACTTAAAAAAAAAGTTTGTATTGATAATGACTTGAGGTTTACAAAATAATTATCATAAGCACAATATAAAACATATCTGCATAACTTCATGCAATTATAAAGGTTTAAAGTTATGCTTACATTAGTTATTGGTTTATTTTATACAATTTGCCATTCACATATTCCTTAGTGAAAATGTAAATTATAAGGTGTAAGTTGACTGTATCACCAGTGATAAGGAGTTTAATTTTACAGATTAATTTGCTGCACATTTACTTACTAGTTTTGCAGTAGTAATAATTTGATATACTGAAAATGCTAGGTTTCACAGAATGCCTTTAAAGAGAAACGTGGCATTATGTACCCAAAGTTCTTTATTCACTTAAACTTATTTTTAATACAAACGTGATACTTATTGTTGAGAACAAGCTTTCCTTTAATTTCAGCATTACCTGTTCATCTTTGGATGCCTGTTGCCATTCTAAAAACGTTGGAATGGAAGCCCAATGCTTTGTTGAGCTTAGAGCAATTAAATATATAATATGCATTTAATCAGATAGTCCATTACATAATTAGTCCTTTATATACATTTCAGTTTGGATATCTTCAAAGTCCTGTATAAAGGAATATTATCCACAGCTAAAATTAATCCATTAAACCTAATGGAGTGCTTTGCAAAAGTGCTTCAGAATATGCGGAAGCAGGAACGTAGGACTGTCTACAGTGCCTTTGGGCAGTTGCATCATTAACTGGGATTGCACACAACTGCTTTAAGGAGTTGTAGACTGGTACTGTGTTTGTGCTCCTTGACATGCTAAAGCACCTTTTCTGATAGAATCCAAAGTGCTACATAACTCTAATAGTTAAGCTTATTACACCTTTGCTAGGGTCAATGCACACTGTCCAATCAGTACTAAAACACACACTACTAATTCCACTACATCATGCTCAAAGGACTCTGTGATGATGTTACTCAAAGACAGATCGTAGTACTGGTTTTATGATGCAGCCAAATGACTCCTCGACTTTGGTAGCATGGAGCACCTAACCAATATTCCAATCCACGTTTTTGAAAATAGCATGAATGTGCTTAGACAACAGTTCATGAGACTTCAAGCCAGATGTGTTCAGGAAGAGCTAAGTGGGGCTGGGGCTTGTTCATTTCCATGCTCGGAGGAAGAGGGGCTAATGTTGCATATGCATTTGTGCCTGCATAATTAATACACTATTCTGTTTAGACCTGCCTGTAAGGTTGCTGAAAATGTTTGTTATGTTAGCTGCAAATGCATTAACTTTCTTTAGGAATGCATCTCGTCTTTTTCCAACTAGAGTCATCGAATAAAGGATTAGAAGGGATCTTAGAGATCATCTAGTCTGACCTCCTGTCCAATACACAGATAGTACATGCCTCTGAGTATGCCAAGACTACAGCTCCCAGAATTCCCTGAATCAGTCAGCATGATTGGGAATCCTGGGAATCGCAGTCCAAATATATCTGGCAAGTACCAAGTTGGAGAAGTCTCTCCAAGGGTATCATTTCAGTCTCATCTTCTCCATAATTGGCTGGTGTCATTGCCTATCCAAAAGGGGACTTTTACTTCCACCCTTTCTCCAATCCCAAAACTGCCATTAACCTCCTCCATGACCATAACTAGATGTGAATTGCTTTAGATTTTTTTCTTTTAAAGTCAGCGTACCCATGTGGTATAAATAGCATAAAGTACGGTGCACTCATGGTGTATGGTAACTCTTCAATGTGGTTGGCAGTCAGCCAGGACCTTCAGTATTTATCATCATCTATATATAAAACTGATTTTGCACAGCATTTTAGAGTGCATTTAAAATGTTCCTTTATCGTGGTTGGTAGTCCAGCCAAAACACAACTCTTCTTCTCATACAAATAATACTTCAGAAATGCTGCTCCGTGTGCTCTTATCTTGACCGCTCCTTTAACAGACAACTGTTCTGAGAACTGGTGTTTTTGGCCAGAAGCCACAATCCTCTATGAATATTCCTCCTCAGCCATGATTGTCCAGGGCAAGCATGTTCATGTTTTAAAAATACTGCAGAACGTAATAAATGTAACAATTTAATTTTTTGAAAAAAATTTGCAAGTAGGGCACAAAATAATGTTCTGTGAAACTGTGAATGTGACCTAATTGTAACATAATCAGGCTTTGGCCAGTTTTAAGCATCTGGATTGGGAGTATACAAAATGTTTACCTGTGTTGTCAACCTGATCCTTAGAGCTTGGTAGCAAATAGCTTCGCTTTAGAAGGATTTTCTTCTAACAATGTTTTATTAGCATCATATACAATAGCAATTACTTTGAAATTGCTTGAGGAGACAAAAAGAGTGCATGTTACTTCCTGAAATCCAAAGTTTTCACATAGTTGGCGTCACCAATGCACTGTCACTTTGGGTGCACCCTGGAAAAATTGTGTTTGTTTTATTTTAAATTAGGGCAAGGAGATGAAGTCTCTGAACCTCAGAGCAGAGATGTAAAAGTAAACCCTGGGACCATCACACCCCTACCCACATCCTTTTAGTAACTTTAAATGAATATTTAGGGTTAAAAAAATATATAGGATTTTTGGAGGG